ACTAAAGTTGCTGGAAGATAAGTTAGGCAGAACTCTTGAAGACATTGGCATAGGAAAAGATTTCATGAATAAATCCTCAGTAGCCTGGGAACTTGCAGAAAGAATCAACAACTGGGATCTCATTTTATTAAAAAGCTTCTACATTGCAAAAGAAACCATCAACAGAACTGAGAGACAACCTACAGTGTGGGAAAAACTTTTTACCAGCTGCTCCAAAGACAAAGGACTATTATCTAGAATATATAAAGAACTCAAAACAACCGTCCCCCCCAAATATAAAGACCTAATTCAAAAATGGGCATCTGAAATGATCAGTCATTTCTCAGACAAAGAAATAAAAGCAGCAAGTAGATATATGAAAAAATGTCCCACATCACTGATCATTCGAGAGATGCAGATGAAAACAACACTGAGATTCCACCTCACCCCACAAAGAAAGGCTGCTATCAAGAATTCACACAATAACAAATGTTGACGTGGTTGTGGGGAGAAAGGAACCCTTCTCCATTGTTGTTGGGAGTGCAGACTGGTGCAACCAGTATGGAAGTCAATATGGAGACACCTCAAAGAACTAGGATTAGAGGTTGCATTTGACTCAGCTATCCCTCTGCTGGGTATCTTTCCAAAGGAATTAAAAGAATCATACCACAGTGAAATATGCACACCCACGTTTATAGCAGCACAATTGGTAATAGCTAAAACTTGGAAACAGTCCATCTGCCCATCTGTTGGAAACTGGATAAAGAAGATACGGTTTTTCTATAAAATGCAATACTACTCAGCCATAAAGAATGAGAAAGTAGATTCATTCATAGGTAAATGGGTACTTTTTGAAGATATACTCCTACATGAAATAAAGAAGTCACACATATGCAGATACCGAATAGTTTCTCTGGTGTGAAAAACTAAAATAGTACTCAGAATCCTAATGGGAAAATTAACAACATGAAATAGGAAGAAAAAGACCAAAGGTGTAGGGACTGTGAGAAGGATAGGGAAAGGGGAATAAGGGAAAAGGAAAAAAATATGAAAAAATGGAATTAAAGTGTTTGAAGATGGGGAGGGGAGGAGGGGGTGAAGGGAGGGTGGGGACAAGGGGAAAAATGAGAACCAAGACCTGGCATGTAAAGGTTCGAGATCCCAGTAATGAATGTAACTGTACTGTATACCTAGAATGTAACAATAAATTCAATTTAAATTAAAAAAATAATACTAGAAACCAAAATCTGGGTGCTAGAGGTGTATTTTGCTATAAAGGCATCACTCCTCTCTCCTATCACAGTGGACAGATCTAGAACATATATGTGGATGCTTACCTCTTAATGTATATATTCTGATATCATGTGCCTAGCCAGTAACTGCTCCCATATGGACACCCTCCTCGCCCTTATCAGAATCAGATATCCTGTTTTTGAGCTACCATGGTTTCCATTATCCCTAGTCCAGAAACTTTATTTTTCTTTACAGTTCATAATGTCTTTTGTACTGAACTGCTCTGGAAGGAAAAAGAAAAGAAGAAAGAGGAGAGGGGAAGATAAAGAAGAAAGGAGAAGAAATGGAAGAGTAAAAAGAGGAAGAGTTTAATTGAATTTAATTTAATTGAAATTAATTTAATTTCAGTTACTATACTTTTTAGTTCAATGTATTTGAACTTATTTTCAAATCTGCTATGTCTCATTTTTAAATATTTATTATGGAAAATGTGTAACATTCAGAAGAAAATAATATAATGAACCGCCTTATACCAGTCACCCTACTTTGACAGTTATCAATTTATAGATCATTTTCTTTAACTTATTTTACCCGTTTTTTCTGACCTATATTATTTTGAACCAATCCTAGATATACATCTTCTTTTTTTTTTTTTCCCAGGTACTGGGGATTGAACTCTGGTCCTTGAGCTTGTGAGGCAGGTGGAGGAGCCACTGAGCTAAATCCCCAGCCAGCCCCCTAGATATATATCTTTTTTAGATTTATAGAAAGTTTGAGAAGATAATGCTGATGGAAATTCCTATGTATCCCATGTCTGGTTTCCTTTGTTATGGTTACTCTTGGTTGTTATCTTAATTTGCTTGAGAAATACCTAGGAGCTGAGTAAAGCACACTACTGGCTGTGTTTTGGTGGGTCACAGGGACATGACTTTGGGAACTATATCTGGCCCTTTTTTGTTTTGGTGGTGGTGGTACTAGAAATTGAACCCAGGCCCTTTGCACTGGGCTACATTACCAGCCCTTTTAATTAATTACTTTTTATTTTAACACAGAATCTTGTTATGTTGTCAAGTTGCCAGTGGGTTTGAGCTTGTAATCTTCCTGACTCAGCCTGCAAGAGTGCTGAGATTACAGGCTTGCACCACCATACTTATCTAGGACAGTGTCTCTGTTGATTAGAGTCTCTAGTGAGTTAGTCATCCTTGTCTTTCTGGTGGTGATGGTGGGATACTCTTACAAATGAAGATTTCCTTAAAAGATATAAATTGCCCTCACAAAAGTATTAACTTCTCTGTTTTCAGAGCTTTTCCTGTGTCTGCAGTTTCTGAAAATAATCAGCTCAAAATAATCCTTATGCCAACAAACAGCTAATCTTAAAGTGGAATATTCTGGTCACCTATACTCATATTATGGGGTGGCATTATTCAGATCTCAAACATCTTGTAAAAAATATCATTGACCTAATGTGTTAAAGAATAAGTCCTTAATGTCATTGAATATCCAGTTAAGTGTTTCATTTCTCAAATTCTACCCTGAAAGCTGACACAGGATTACAAATTTAAGGCCAGCCTGGGTAATTTTAGCAAGACCTTGTCTCAAAAAATAAATAACATTTGCCAAATTATTTGCATTTTGATTTTACTGTTTGTTTTCAAATCAAGTTCCAAATATGGCCCACATAGTATGATTGATACCTTTTTACAGATAGTGTTTTGTTTTGTGGTGCTGAGGATGCTAGGTAAGCACTCTACCGTCAAGCTGCACTCCCAGTGCCCAAGAATCTTTTTTGTCTGGTCATGGAAATTGAACTCAGGGCTTTAGTATTGAGTTACATCCCTAGTTCTGTTTATTTTCTCATTTTGAGACAGGGTCTCACTAAGTTGCCCAGGCAAGGGTTGAATTTATGATCCTCTTGCATTAGCCTTCCAGAATGTACGATTACAGGCATGTACTACCATGCCTGGCTTTTGAACTCCTTTTAAACTATAAATTCCTCATTCTTTTCCTTCTTCGCATTTTTTGCTATTAAAGAAACTGTCCTCTAGAGTTTCCCACAGCTTGGATTTTGGTAATTATGCTTCTGTGGAGTTGTTTAGTAGTGATATATTCTTTCTTTCCTTCCTTTCCCAAAACCTGCTGGTTGATTCTACAGTATTAAACAGATTCATATCTAAGTACTTCTTAGGTCTTCTCGACAATTCCCTCAGGAGACAAGTAATGTCCTATTTGTGTGTGTGTGTGTGTGTGTGTGTGTGATGTTAAAAGCCAATGATGAGCATTGCCTAGAGCATTTATTTTATTAGGGACTTACAAAATTGTGACACTTTAATTCTACTATTCTTCTGAATGTATTGGCTGGAGTATTTGTATAAAGAGAAAACCTTGAGGCAACCGTGGTGGCACACACCTGTAATCTCAGCACTCAGGAGGCTGAGGCAGGAGGATCGCTGTGAGTTCGAGACCAGCCTGGGCTACATAGTGAGTTCCAGGAAACATAGTGAGTTCCAAGTCATTCTCAACTACATAGTAAGACCCTGTCTCAAAAAAAAAAAAAGAGAGAGAGAAAACCTAATCAATATTTTGTCTCTATGAGTTCATATGGGAAATAAAGTATATAAATATAAATATGTTTAGTGTTCTTCAGTATACTTTCGTTATGATTTTTATGGATGCTTAAGTTGTAACATTTTTAGTCAATGGGAGCTTTTCTGAAGTGGGTCAGAGTCCATATGACATGACTTCAGTGATCTTTGAGACCTTCCTTGTTCTCCAGGATGTTCATGACTTATCTTGTACATTTCATGAATCAGATGCCAAATCACTATTTGTCCAATGAGTTTTATTTCCTTTTACACTGCTATTGAATGGATCACAGTGTTAGGAAGGTAGTTAGGCATTAGTGAGCTAAGGGATGGGGGTGGAATCTAAAATAGCACACTTTGCCAGTTAAGAAACAATGACTTAATATATTCATAACCATTTGTTAAGTCTCAGACCTAAAGCAATCCCACAGAACACAATGATATTTTAAGGTTACTCATTTTGCACATTCTTTCTGATACCTGACTACCTGCCCAACTATAGAACAAGGCATACAGCGTTCCTGGCTGCCATAACCTATGTCCTAATGATATCAGGAGAGGAAATGATGTTCAAATATTCTCATGCCTTGGGGCGGGATCTAGTTTAAATTAAAAACTTATCTTGCAAAAATGTATTTTGTAAACTTCTTACATGACTAAAGCCACTAAGGAAACAGTGACTATCCAAAAAGGACAGGAATACAGCTCATAATTCCAATGTAACTTCTAAGAAAATGTTGATAAGCATTATCACTACCCTAATTCCATGAACCTCAGGAATAACTCTTGTAAGTGTAGAAAGATATCAAGACACACAGTGCAGGTGCCTTTGTGGCACAAGCTGACTTCTTGCTTGAAGGCATAACTGTCTCTATATATTGGCTTTATAATACATTCTACTTATACTTCTGCACAGCAGTCTGTTTTGACTGAATTCTTTCATCAAGGGCACAAAGAATAAAAGATCAAGGAAGTGAGTAGACAGTTCCTCGCTGTGTCAGGACCTTGCTTTCCAGAGACAATAGCTTCTAGGCCATTTCAGGGGCCAGAGTTTAAAAATATATGTGTACATATGTATACGGGTAAGTAAATATGTATATAGTTAGGTAGATAGATGGATAGTCAGCCTTTTGTATCCAAGGGTTCCACATCCATTCAACCATTCAACCAACTATGCATAAAAATATTTGAAAAAAATTTCATCTTGTTCTCAATTCGGCAGCATATTAAAATCAGGATGATACAGAGAAGATAAGCATGGGCCCTGAACAAGAATGACATGCAAGTTCATGAAGGATGAAGGATTCCATTATTAGGAAAATGGATGCACCTTGAGACCATAATGTTAAGTGGCGTAAGTCAGACACACAAGTTTAAATGGCTCATGGTTTCTCTTAGATGAGAAACCCAGAGAGCCAGGTGTGGTGGCACACGCCTTTAATTCCAGCACTCGGAAGGCTGAGACAGGAGGATTGCGACGAGTTGGAGACCAGCCTGGGCTACATAGTTTCTGGTCAGTCTTAACTACATAGTGAGACCCTGTCTCAAAAAACAAACAAACAAACAAACAAACAAAACAACACAAAATACAAATAAAGAGCAGTAGGGAAGGTGTGATGCGTAGGGGAAGAACAAAAAGGGAAAAGAAAAAAATGTGAGAGAATGAAAAGATGAAAATAAAGTGTTTGTAGATGGGGAGGGGAGGAGGGGGTGAAGGGAGGGCAGAGGTAAGGGGAAAAAATGAGAATCAAGACTTGCCATGTAAAGGTACATGATCCCAACAATGAATGTAACTGTACTGTATCCCTAAAATGTACCAATAAACTCAATAAAATTAAAAAAAAACAAAAAAAAACAAATAAAGAGCAAAATAAAAGATAGATAATAATAGGAAGTATGGAGATCTTCAAATAGGAAGGAGATCAAGAGATGGAAGAAGTGGGGGAGGGAGGGAGGGAAAGGGAATAAAAAAAGAATTGAGATATATTATGTGCATGTACCAACTCCACATAAGGAATGTAATCATTACATGATGAAAATATAGACTAAAAAAATTAAAACTGAAAAAAAATAAATTGTATCTGTACTGAATGTATATAGAATATTTTCTTGTCATTATCCCCTAAACAATACAGTATAATAACTATTTACATGGCACTTGATTGTCTAGGTATTATAAGTAAATAGAGACAATTTAAAGTATATGAGAGGTTATGTACAGGTAATATATAAAAACTATTATCACTGCAGGGCCTTGAATGTCTGCAGATTTTGATGTTCAAGGGGGTTCCTGGGCTTGATCCCCAACAGATGCCAAGAAACTACTATAGCTATAGGTATATATACACATAGATAAGATATGACTCTACATAGTGGTGCACGCCTATAATCCCAGCACTCAGGAGGCTGAGGCAGGAGGATCTCTGTGAGTTCAGGACCAGCCTGGGCTATATAGTGAGTTCCAGGTCAGTCTCAACTACATAGTGAGACCCTGTCTCAAAAAACCAAAAAAAAAAAAACAAAAAAGATATGTCTCTAAATATATAGATAGGCATATATATAAACATTTCTTTTCAGTATAGAGGATTGAACCTGGGGGTTCTCTATCATTGAGCTACATCTCCAGCCCTTTCTGTTTTTTATTTTGAGACAGATTCTTGCTAAGTTGCCCATAAAATAACTTGGATCAAACTTACAATCTCTTACCTCAACTTCCTGAACAACTGAGATGATGGATGTGCACCACAGTTGACTGGCTTCATATTTTTTATTACATCTTTGTGACGGATTCTCATAGTTGTAACTCCTCAGACAAGGGCTTAAATATATATGTAATTTTACTAAATCTTGCCAAATTCCTCCTCATAAGAGCCGTGGCATCTCACATTCTGATGAACAATATTTGAGCATGCTGTTATACTATTGCTTTAGCAATGAAGTATGTTGCATAATTTTTGGAATTTTGCCAATACTATAGTTAAGTAATTATGTGTCTGTGCAGTTTTTTTTTTTTTTGGTTTTTGGTTTTTGGTTTTTGGTTTTTTGAGACAGGGTCTCCCTATGTAGTTGACACTGACCTGGAACTCACTATGTAGCTCAGGCTGGTCTCAAACTCACAGTGATCCTCCTGCCTCAGCCTCCCGAGTTCTGGGATTAAAGGTGTGTGCCACCACGCCCAGCCATCTGTGCAGTTTTGATTTGCAGTTCTTTTATTTTGTGTGAAGTAGAGTATCTTTTCATATATTTAAGGACAATTCACATTCCATTTTATCATAATTTTTCATTATTTTTACATATTTTCTATAATCTTGACCTGTTCTTCGGTATTTTAGGAGCTTTTACCCCAACAGTATTATGAAAATATTTTCAGGTACTGTAAAGTTGAAAATATACAGTAAACTTTCATTTACCTACATTTTATCGTATCTATCCAATGTATTCATCTCTCTTTTCTTTTATGAATCAGTTCTGGGTTTTTTATGTATTGCAAAGTAAATTGCTAATATTTTAGTAGCTCTTTCATAGTTTTCCTAGTTTGTCTTTTGTTTCATTTGTCTTTTTACTTTAATTTTTCTCTTTGCCCAGGAGAATTTTTAATTTTTATTCTCAAAATCATCAGAGTTTTCCCTTGTTGCTACTAGATTTTGAGGGGGGTGAGAAAGGGTCTCACTTTGTAGTTCAAGCTGGCCCTGAACTCACTATGTAACCCACACTGGCCTTGAACTCTTGGCAATCCTCCTGCCTCTCCCTCCTGAGTGCTGGCATTACAGGCATGCGCCTCCATGCCCAGCTAGATTTTTGAGGTACAGTTTAAAAGTTTTTTTCCACTCCCAGCTTATGGAGGAATTCATATAAATTTTCTTTTAGTTGTTGTGTCACCTTTTATTTGCCAATTCTCTGATACTTTCATCCTTGGTTTTTATTTCTTTGAACGTTAAAGCATAGTTGGTGTATGGTCTGTGTTTGATATATAGTACCCAATTTTTTGCTCTGTGGATCTGTTTCTGTTGGCTATTATTTTATATATACTTTTCTTATTTTTTGCATGCATGATTATGAATGATTACATGATATACTATATTTGTAGAAATAAGTTGAGGAGTAGAAAAATACAATCTCCTTCCAGAGAGGTATTCTATTTGCTTTTGTTTGGTGTGTGGGGACACTGCACGTGTGGGACCATTTAAATCAAATTTCAAGATTTATGTTTGCTAGGCCAACCAGATGGCATGAAGAAGTCTGCAAACAGAATGAAGACTTGCTTTACTTTTGCTTCACATTTCCCTCTTTAAAATCATTTATTGGGAGCCTGTTAGCCTGAGGCAGCTCCAGCATACTGGGTTCCTGCATAAGCAAACTTAAACCCAACTCAGTGTAAATGGTCACACTCTAGGAAAACAAAATTTAAGGTTAATCAGAAATTACCAAGGGCCAGGGATTTAGCTCAGTGGTTCCGCCACCTGCCTGACAAGTGCAAGGACCCAAGTTCAATCCCCGGTACCCAAAAAAAAAAAAAGAAAGAAAAATTACCAACTATCATTGTAGATATTCTGTACTAGAATAATTCTAGTAAGGCTCTTCTTCACCTTGGCTAATCATATATTTTCTTTTACTTGAATCCCTGTTTCCTTTTTTTTGTAGGGGAGCTGGAGATCCGACCCAGGGTTGAGTGTGTGAGGCAAGCACTGTACCACTAAGGTATATCCCTAGCCACACCTTGCATTTTTTGTACTGGAGATTGAACTCGGGTCCTTGTGCTTGCAAGGCAGGCAGTGGAACCACTGAGCTAAATCCCCGGCCCTAAACCTTGCCAACTCAAAGAAAGATTTGTTAAGATCTCATTTCAGGGGGCCCTATGCTTTTTTACCTTACTCTTTTAGCCAAACAAGACTACCAAACACAAAACTGAGGCTTGCAGTTATTTGCTTGGATTTGCAGATACCTTTAAGGGTAAGGTGACAAGTTTAACTGAGTTTTTACTTTCTGCTAGATTTTGACCTGATAATTTCTTACTTACTTATAAACCCTTTTTGCTTATAAGAAGGTGTATTTTTAACAGTTTAGCCAGGCATGGTGGTGAATGCCTATGACCCTAGCACTCTGGGAAGCTGAGGCAAGATGATCTCAGATTTTAGGAGCCTGGGCAACTTAGTGAGCCTATCTCAGAATAAATAATTTTAAAAAGAATTGGGAATGTAGCTCTGTGCAAAGCCTCTGGATTCAATTATCCAGTGGCAAAAACATTGTTTATTCATTGTTGTGCTTGTGGTGGAACCCTGGGCCTCTAGCATGGTAGGCAAGCATCATAGTGCTGAGCTACAGTCTTAGCCCTTTTTGTTTTTATTTTTCAATTTTGAGACAAAGTCTTTCCAAATTGCCCAGTCTAGCCTCGACCTGGTGATCTTTCTGCTTCCACCTCCTAAATAGTTAGGATTATTTGCACACACCACTACTCCAGGTATATTTGTTAGTTTTTCATTACTGGGATCAAATGCACTACATATACAACATGAAGGAGTAAATAGTTTATTTAGCTCTCAATTCCAGGGGGTTTAGTTCATGGTTGGCTGGCTCCAAGGCAGAAAGGCCTGGCAGAAGAAAGCTGTTCAACTCATGGCAGTCAGGAAACAGAAAGAGAAGGAGACAGAGAGAGAGAGAGATAAACCCTGCAAAGACACCTCCAGTGAGGCACCTTCCCCACCCAGGCCTCACCTCCTATCAGCACAGTCAACTAGTAATTCATCAATAGATTAATCCACTAGGGAATATAGCACCCCCCCAACCTAATCACCTCCTGAAAGCTCCCTATGAACACATGTGACTTTGGGAGCACATTTTAGATCTAAACCATAACGCCAGGCTCTTATTCAGTTTGTTTACTTTCTGGAGTTGGAGATGGTACCCAGGGACTTGTGAATGCTAGGCAGGCAATTTACCACTGAGTTACAATCCTAGCTCCATGTATGCAGAGTGTTGGCTTGATTATCTAGTTTGCCTCACTGCAGGTGGAAATCCCTCTCATTCTGACTTTAATTTCCACTTCTTTTTTTAAAATTAATTTTGTTGGTACATTTTAAGTATACAATATAATGATATTCATCACTGGAAATTTCTGCCTTAATCTATCTTGGTTCTTATTTTTCCCCATTCCTGTCCCTCCCTACAACCCCTCCACCCCTCCCTACTTAAAAAAGAACTTGTTTCCATTTTTTCATTTTCTCATATTAATTCCATTCCCTTCCTCAACCCCTCCCACTTCCCCTTTGCCCTTTTCTTCCTCTTTCACATTATCTGTTATACCCTTTAGTC